CGTGGACTTCGATTTCCTGCTGCCCGATACAGTTGCAGTCAGTCCAGCTCCGGCGACGTTTCAACTCCGTAGCCCCTCATGACATATGTTGCTCTTCTGGCGCACTAGCATTTATTTGAATCCGAACCCAGAACTGCGCTTCGTAGGCTGCATGACGGTAGCACTTGAGTTGAGACCTGGACAGTGTTCATGAATGGTCTGTGTTCCACTGTTCCTCACCGCGTTTCACGAGTGCCTGTGGACGTATTTGGCCACGATCGTCGCGGCCAATCGCCAGCTTTTGCCACCTAGAAACTGGACGTTATCAATACTCAATCTGCGGACAACTGTTTCGTCCTTTGTGGACTCATCAGCGCAGCACAGAGGGAATTAAGCCGAACCTGATAGCAATGAAAAATAAAATAAATCTCCAAAGCCAGGTTATCAATATCAACTTGTGGCAACTGCGCCTCGCGGTGTACTGGAACAGCACGACCCGCCTGCCAGCAGTGCAGCTCAGTGCACTCGCCAGCATTTCCGTGCGCATTTCGTCCTACTCACCAGTACAGATCCGCATCACGTACCGCAAACGTATGCCGCTACTACGAGTACGGCGCTTGCACGCGTCAGCTCAGGCAGTGCTACCTCCAGTGCCGACAGGAGCATCCCAGGGCAAAGTGTAAGGCCTCATCAGTAACTGTGTAAGCACTCAGTTTCTCACTTCTCAAAATTACTGGACTCACATCCTGATCCTATGCTCCGGAGGTATGTTGCACATGGTCGTAATTGTGGGGTTGTGGTAGGTTTCATCGGCAACCACTCAACTAACTGGGATCCATTGAATTTAACACGGTCACATGCTAACCCAGATTATATTTCTGCGCAACGATCCGTTTCTTGCAGCAGGCTTGAAACAGCTGGCCGATCCGTTTCTTGCAGCAGGCTTGAAACAGCTGGCCCGTGTTCTTCACCCCCTTTCTCGCCTCTGTGCTGTTCCGGCGTAGATGCGGTTCCTAGACGAACGGGAAGTTACACACGACACACCCTTTGTAAAGCCTGGAGGGTCGAAGTGTCAACGATTACATTCCAGCAGACCGTGTCTCTCCACAATGTCAAGATGACAATGCTGCAAACATGATTAGACAATTGCTCGCCCCGCTGTATCTTGCTAAGCTCAATGTTAAAAGTGCATTCTGCCGAATTCCCGTCTGCCCGGAGGAGTGGCCCTTGTTGAACCGCTGGCAGGATCAATACTGTTATGAGAGCGTCCTGCCCTTCAGACTGTACTACGCTCCAGGCCAGCTATATGGAACTCTGTCGCATCCGCCAGTGAATGGATTGTGTGCGGGCAGTTCGCACTCCCACGCCTGTTGCATTACGGGGAATACCTCAATTAATGTTACTTCCTCAATGCATGCTCAGGACTTGTGTTACCTCGCCAGCAACTCGCTATTCTGCTCCGAGCGTTTACATACCTCGGTGTTTCTCTGGCCCCAGCAAAAGTGGAGGGTCCAGCTCAATTCCTGACGTTATTGGCATCTTCCCATTACGGGAAATACCTCGACTAACGTTTCTGTCTCCATGCATGCTCTGGACTTGTGTTAGCTCGCCAGCAACTCGCTACTCGGCGCCGTGCGTTTACATACCTCGGTGTTTCTCTGGCGTCAGCAAAAGTGCTTCCTCGATGTATGCTCTGGACCTGTGTTAGCTCGCCAGCAACTCGCTACTCGGCGCCGTGCGTTTACATACCTCGGTGTTTCTCTGGCGTCAGCAAAAGTGGAGGGTCCAGCCCACGTCCTGACGTTTATCGGCGTCATCCTGGACACCCGCACGCTCACATCAGTCTGCCGATGGACGAACTTGCCAAGCTTCACGACCTCCTACGGGCCACTCTCAACACAGCTTCAACTACCCAATGTCAACTCGAGTATCTTTTGGGAAAGCTCTCGTTTGCTACAAGAGTGATAGTCCCAGGACGCACATTGCAGATTGTGGTCACTTGCCAACTGGTACCGGCAGCCGTATTACCTGATCAAGCTCTCCGAAGAGTGCCTCAAATACCTTCGCTGATGGCCTTAGCTCCTGGAATAGTAGAACGGCCGGTCCTTCTTCCTACACCCTAAGTGGACGCCGTCCCCCAACTTGCTGCTATTCACTGATGCAAGTGGTGCACTTGGCTGGTGCGCAAACAATTGCAACCGGGGATAGGGCAATGTACAGTCAATCAAGCAGACCAGCCAATCGCAAAGAGTGGTTTGCAATTGTGGCAGCACCTGGAAAAGCTAGCGGCACCAGCAGCAGATGCCAATCGATCGGCTTTGCAGCAACTGCGAAAATCTTGCTCATCAGTTGTGGCTATGGCCTGGCGTCATACACCGGCCACTCGTTTCGAATCAGCTGCCGGACTCGATATTCAGAGAGGCGGGAAGGTGGAAAGCCATGTCTGCCCGAGTAACATTCAGAGGCCACCAGCAGCCAAAGCATGGGTGGCTGTGGCAATGGCCTCAGCCCATGATATCGAGTTCCTGTTAGTCAATCGTTACCGAGCTTGCACTGCTTACAAATATCACAGGTAGCTGCACTTTGTGATCCGCTCTGGGAGTGCCGATTTATGGAATATATGCTCTCAACTGGTTATGCATCTCTATATATCTAGCATTTGGCGGCTCTATTCAGAGTCATTGGCGGCTCCATGCGGAGGCATTGGCGGCTCCATGCGGAGTCATTCGGCGGCTCCATGCGGAGTAATTGGCAGCTCCATGCGGAGTAATTCGGCGGCTCCATGCGGAGTCATTCGCTGGCTCCATGCGGAGTCAATTGCCGGCTCCATGCGGAGTCATTCGCCGGCTCCATGCGGAGTCATTCGCCGGCTCCATGCGGAGTCATTTGCCGGCTCCATGCGGAGTCATTCGCCTGCTCCATGCGGAGTCATTTGCCGGCTCCATGCGGAGTCATTTGCCGGCTCCATGCGGAGTCATTTGCCGGCTCCATGCGGAGTCATTCGCCTGCTCCAAGCGGAGTCATTTGCTGGCTCAGCTGCGAGCCATTATACCAGTTGCTCGAATCGGCACTCCCAGCTTAATGCAAAACTCGGTTGCTCTGTTGTGAGGTGGGGGGATGCTAATGAATATTTCTAAAGTTTAAGTTTATGCCATTATTTATGCCATTAGATACTGAACATAAATTCATAATGGAGTACAGTAAACAAAATAACATGCAAACTGGAACAGTAGCACAGTCCCTTAAAGTACTGCTGGTGGAGCTGCCCTTGAAAAGAGTTGTTCATCCGGATCTTGTAAAATACAGCAATACCAACTTGCATTGAGACAGGGGCAATGTGTTGTGTTCATTTTGTTTGCAGTGCCGGAGCAGTGGGAAGGTTTTTTACAAGCCTTGGCAAGTGGAGAAAGCTGACGGCCAGTTCCAGTCATTGTTAGCATTCCTGTAGTGTTACACCACGCATACACATGCATGCATATGTCAACACACCTATACACAATTATTATGCATGAGTGTAAGAGCAAATAAACGGTACCCATTTCACACGATGTCACCTGATGCCTTTATTTCACTTCGTGTTGGTACTTCTCTGTACTTTGATGCTACTTGCATGAAGCTGATCTTGGCCTAAGGACATATTGGTAGGAAATATTGATAAGGAAACGTAGCATTGATTGAATTGAAGCATGCACGATTTCAGGTTTGTCTATTATGACGGTTTACCTCTCCTGGTGGTCCATCAGGTTGCTTGCCCTTGGATGTATTGTCAATATCGCTGCATTCAGCTCAAACAAAGTTGATAGTTCATTACTATTGGAGTGAGCATTCTTACAACACATAGTGCCTATAGAGATGCATTTCCATTGATATCTGTGAAGGAGTATTTTGGGAGGCAAAATGCAATAATGCACGGCGAAAATTTCGCCGTGCATTATTGCATTTTGCCTCCCTGTATGTTATTTGTAATCACAAATCTGTAATTTCGTTGATTAATCTCGCCGCACTCAGCTAGAACGTAGTTGGTTGTCCATTGATCGGAGAGAGCATTCTTACAGCACATAGTGCCTATCGTAGATGTAATTCCACTCAAATCTGTGAAGAGGTATATCCTCCGTGCGCTGTTACATCTTACCTCCGAGTATGCTAGTTAGTCATGAGGAATCTGTACTTTTGTCGATACAATAATGTCGCTGCACTCAGCTAGAACAGTTGATTTTCATCTATATTGGAGTGAGCATTCTTACAACACGTAGTGCCTATCGTGGATGCAACTCCACTGGTAACTGTGAAGAAGTTCTCTATGCACTATTACATTTAGCCTCCAAGTCTGTTAGTTTGCAATTAAAAATCGGGTACTAGTACTTCAAGATTTATGTGAGCGGTTGTGTTGTGGTTTATCACTCTCTTATTATTGACCCCCACAGAAACTTGTGATCTCTAAGCGGTCAATATATGCTATTTGACCGCTTATATTGACCACTTATTATTGACCACTTAGCCCGAGGACTTAGAACTTTTTCCTCAGACAAAAATCAGAACTGAAAGAAGAAAAATCTGAAGCCAAATGTTGGGGTTTCGAACCCAAACTGTCAAATTCTCAGTCAAAGAACTTAGGGAACATACTACAAGTGACAATTGAAAACTTCTGTTTACAGAGAAGTAATGTCCAATGTAAACGGCATATGTACATACTATGTACTATTACAATAGTATTCCTTTCTTCCTATAAACACTGCTAAAACAGTTTAGGCATGCTATGTCATGATAAATCTATTAGTGCCCTCATAATCGGTCAATATAATTATGAAATATAGACCTCGTAAAAGACCTCGGGGGACCTCGCCATGCCCACTTCAAAGAACATAAAAAGAACATAATGCATGCACGCGGTTTTGTACCGTGTGTGAATGCAGCCTTAGACACCGCATCATGACATTGCAAGCTACTTTTACCAATGTTTCATAAATTAAAGAGAGTCTTTATTGTATCATGAGGGGCACAAATGAAGCTTGCAAATGCACGAGAACAAACAGGCCAGGTAACAGGCTCCTGTGCAACGGGAATCTGTGTGTTCAACAACGCAAAGGTAATGATACAGGCACGGACAAACAATCGGAATACGCACTTCGTGACGGCAAGCTAGACAACTTGCGGTCTAGCTGAAAGCGGAAGTTAATAGTTGAAGTGCGAAAATTTCATTGAAAGAACAATGGCCTCTTCGGCCTGTTTCCCCATGGCCCGGATCTCGGCATTGGTCTTCTCCAGAGCCTCGTGGGCTTGTTGCAGACCGGCTATGTCGTCTCCAAACTCCATTTCGATGTGCATGGGCTTGAGCAGCGCTTGGAGTATGAAATCGTTCCAGTTGCCGGCCACCACGGTCCAGTAGAGTACGTAGTCCGTCAGCATGCCCGTCATGTCCCCATTGTGGTGCTGCGCGCGGAACGTCGCCACCTTGGCCTCCAGCATCATCTCCTCGAACTGCTCCGGCTTGGGGTAGTCGCGCGGCTGCACCCAGGCGATGGTCTTGACGGCACCGCAGTCGGCTGGGTCGCCGCGCTGACCCAAACCTCCGAGTGTGTCCTCGGGAAGTTTGTTGATCTTCAAGAACTCCTGGAACGTCGTCGGTACGTTATCGCCGTGGAAAGAGACGACATAGAACGTCGAGCGTACCTGCGACGGCTGAAGGTCCATTGGCAACGGCGGTGACTTATCCACGGGAATCATGCCACGCACCTTGATGACATTGGCAATCCCCTCGAATGCCTTGTTCGCCTTGCTGATGAGGCGCGCCGAACGCGACACGCACTCGTGCTCGAAGATGAAGGTGACGGCGGGGTTCATGATGAAGTTGTCGCGCGAGCCGCCCTTCTTGCCGTTACCGTCCGTTGCCCGTAGGTAGCCGAACAGGTGTCCCAGTTGTCCATCCTGGAGCTCCTTGAACATTGCACGTGCCCGCAGACTCTGGCCAGTTATGGTGGGAAAGTAGGAGCGGGGAGTTTTGCACTCGTATGCTGCAGTGTAACCAATCTCTCCCATGCGATACACGCGCGAGTTGCTGGAGCGCACGTGGAAGCTGTCGACCAGCGTCACCTTGGCGTTGAGTAGATGGCGATTGTGACGCAACACCTCGCTTGCCTGCCGAGTAAAGAACATACAGGAAAAACATCAGAATGCACATGCACGCACGCACACACACAATACACACGATACAGGTTACTTTGAATGCAGAACTTTAAAAGAGCCATATCTAGACAAAATGTCTTGTTTCGAAGTAGTTGTTGTTGTGCTTGAAATTATGAAAAGTAAATGTGCAGCAACAACAAGGATGATGACGGTGACAACAAAAACTCTCTCTCTTTCTCTTATGTACCATTCCGTTTGTATACTGCTGATGCACTGCCATGCACACAACATAGGCCATGTCAAGCAATTACCTACTATCATGTGGTCATGCTATGTTAGAGAACAGGGTTAGAGAACAGGGCATATGGCCCAAAACGAAACACACGCAATATGATCAAGGTCAAGCTGCTTATCCAACTCCGAAAGCGGTGGGTGTGCGAGTTGATCACGCCTGTCTTAGTGGCCGGCAGCCAATGACCCCACATTCTTGTTCTTAGGGAGGTTTCACTCTACATAATTACGCATGACAATCACGTAGGAACTGCACGTAATTGTCGTACGTAAGAATCAGCGCATTCCGCTTGGCTTGAATGTTGCCATGGATAAATCCGGGAATGTGAATAATCTTTCAAAAAGCCCTACGGAGGACTCAACGTAGGAAACAGCTTGCCTCACACCATACAAGCAGCAAGTCATGACTGGCACACCATACAAGCAGCAAGTCATGACTGGCAAGCGGCCAATGACAGTATGAGTGCACTTGCTTTACATGTGGCCCTACAAGATTTGGTTTGTTATCTACAAAAACCGTTCGCTACAAAGGGTCCATTTTGTATGGTTTTAAACAGGTATATGGGCAAGGGTTCGCCTCTATCACGAAAACACTATATGCGAGTTTGTTACAAGTGGATTCGACTGGGCATTCACTCACCAGCTTAGCCAATCTAGCACTGAACGTGCGGATGATCAGCTTTGCGCCACCTTCGGCCACATTTGTGTCCTTCTGGATGATAGGGAAGTCAATGGTGTCCGGATCGAGCCCGATCACGTTTGGCCGCTGCGCAAGCTTGTTAAAGAAGATCTTGAACGCCTTGACGCTGTCCTTGCGTGGCTTGGCAAACTCCAGCACCACCGCACTCTTCCGCTCGAAAACCACGTCATAGTCGATGGAAGTGGCATCCTTGGAGAGCAGCCATGGATGTTCTTCCAGCTTATTCTGCTTGAGCAGCGGAGCGATGCCGCTCGGCCCGGGCGCGTTTACGAACACCAGATCATTGAACTCGTTGAGGCCGGGCACGAGGGTGTTCATCACGCTGGCGTTCTGCAGCTTGTCCTTGACCGTTGCATCCTTCGTGCCGGCAAACTTGGTCTGCTCAGCCATGAACTTCTTGTGCGGGACGTTGTCGCTGCGAGTGAAGTTGACGCGGATGAATCCCTTGATCATCGGCTTGAACAGCATCTTGTCCTCGGCATCGGCATCTTCGGGATGATCCGGGTCAGAGGTTTTCTTAACCATCATAACGGACGACTCGTAGATCATGTCTTTGAGGATCTTGGTGAACTGCAGAACAGTACAGACAGACCAGTGCAGGTGAGTAGATAGGTACATGTAGATGTACTGTACTGTAGTCTTGTGTGTTTGAATGGGTGTGTTTGAATGGGTGTGTTTGAATGGGTGTGGGTGGGGGGGGGGGGGGGGAGTACGGCTTTAGCACTCGTACTCGGCACATCATTAATTTTATAAAGAAGTGGACAACTTTGAAGCCGTAAACCGACAGATGATTGACAAAATAAAAAGGAAAGGATCACATGTGTTACATGCTATCCCTACCCGGCCAACACGGTCCAACACGGTCCAACACTGTCCAACACTGACAATCATAAGCAATGTACAGGTGAAAGAGAGCGTGCAACAGTTAGCACAATAATGGCTGCCGTGGTACTGAAGATCAACCACCTCGTGTGTAGCTCCATCACGTGTCGAATGCGCATGCCAACGCAACTCACAAACTTAGCGACGAAGCAAATTGCCCAGACAAACCCGCAGCACACATTTGGATGGTGAACAGAACAAAACCGACTAGTGAATGGTGAACAGAACACAACAGACTAGTGAATGGTGAACAGAACACAACCGACTAGTGAATGGTGAACAGAACACAACCGACTAGTGAATGGTGAAAAGAACACAACAGACTAGTGGATGGTGAACAGAACACGACAGACTAGTGAATGGTGAACAGAACACAACAGACTAGTGGATGGTGAACAGAACACAACAGACTGGTGGATGGTGAACAGAACACAGCAGACTGGTGGATGGTGAACAGAACACAACAGACTAGTGGATGGTGAACAGAACACAACAGACTAGTGAATGGTGAACAGAACACAACAGACTAGTGGATGGTGAACAGAACACAGCAGACTAGTGGATGGTGAACAGAACACAACAGACTAGTGAATGGTGAACAGAACACAACAGACTAGTGGATGGTGAACAGAACACAACAGACTAGTGGATGGTGAACAGAACACGAAAAACTAGTGAATGGTGAACAGACGAGTTCACTAGATGAGATGTCAGACAAACACACGGAGGGTTGGACGGCAGAAAGACAATTTCACTGACAAACGCACAGGCGGCTGGAGAAGAGTCTGCAAGGAAGTAGTTCCTGATCAGACAAACAACAGCAACAGCAGCAGTGGCAGAAAATGTTGAAAAGCAGCAGGTCAAGACTAGTTAGCTTACATTCTTGCGGTCTTCTTCCTTGTTATCGTGCAGGAAGGAGACTAGCGTGGTGCCTGGCTGTGTCTTTGTGTCGAATGTAATATTCTTCGTAGACATGTGCTGGTGCACGGAAATGTAATCTGCTGTTGGACGCTTGCTGGCAATGAACTTGACCATTTGGTTTTTCAGCTCCTTGACAGAACCAATGTGCTCGATGGCCAGGCGCAGAGGTGTGTCATCTGCGTCATCATCGTCATCATCTTCCCCTTCGTCCGCATTGTCACTATCGTCACCGTCGTCAACAGCATTGTCGTCGCCGTCCGCATTCCCATCATTGTCAGCATCGGCGCCGGCAGTGCTGGTTGCCACCTGTATGGCAGTATCACCGTCGGAAACCGTGGACGTTACCATGTCTTCACTGCCGTCAACGTCAGCCGCAGAACCACTATCTCCACCACTGGCACCTGTGCTGCTGATAGTGGTGCTGATAGTGGTGTTGGTGCTTGTTGATGTCCCAGTGGTTGCCGTGTCGGCACTCGGACGAACCTGCTGAACAAAACCACCGTGCTTACCCACCTGGGTGTGGCCTTGCTTTTGGCTAATGTCAATCTGTGAGTAGCCTTGTATTTTTCCAGGAGACACGTTCTTTGTAGGCGTGCTATTTATCTGGACACAACCTTGCATTCTTCCAGGAGACACGTTCTTTGTAGGCGTGCTATTTATCTGGACACAACCTTGCATTCTTCCAGGAGACACGTTCTTTGTAGGGGTGCTATTTATCTGGACACAACCTTGCATTCTTCCAGGAGACACGTTCTTTGTAGGGGTGCTATCATCCACCTGCGTGTATCCTTGCTTTTGGATGCCATCACTCTGTGAGTAGGGTTGCTTTTGGATGCCATCCACCCGCTGCTGAACAAGACCGTACTTACCCACTTGCGTGTAGCCTTGATTTGGGTTCTGTGCGTAGCCATGCATTTTTCCTGGAGACACATTCTTTGTGAGGGTGCTATTCAGCTGTGTAGAGCCTTGCACTTGGGTATTATCCATCGACGCGGAGCCTTGCCTTTGGTGATTAGCCATCCGAGCGTAATAGCCTTGCTGTTGGATGCCATCAATCCGCTGCTGAACAAAACCACCGTGCTTACCCACCTGGGCGTAGGCTTGCTTTTGGTTACTGTCGATCTGTGAGTAGCCTTGTATTTTGCTGGGAGACGCATTCTTTGTAGGCGTGCTATTCATCTGGACAGAACCTTGCACTTCTCCGGGAGACACGTTCTTTTCAGGGGTGCTATCATCCACCTGTGGGTAGCCTTGCATCTGGCATCTTGCATCAATCGGTAGGAAGCTTTGCGTTTTTCCGGGAGACACATCCTTTGTAGGTGGAGTAGTCATCTGTGCGGGGCCTTGCACCTGGTTTCTATCCGTCGATGAGGAGCCTTGCATCTGTGCTAGCTGTATAAAATTAAAATTGCATTGTGTGAACTGTTGCCTGACCATGGTCCGTGGAATAACAGACCATCGTTTTGGTGAGCCACTCTTACTGCCTGCGCTGCTCTCAGCTTTGTCTGCTTTAGCTGCCACTGCTGCTGCGTCGGCGTCCCGGGACGCTTGCTCCACGAGTTCGGGGAGCATATCTCGCAGCGCCTTAAAGAGCTGCGTCTGGATGTGCGGCGCCATTTTAGCCATCAGCCTGGGGAGGTCAGCCGGGTGCTCAAGCTCCAGCTCTTGGTCTTCATCTATAGGACATGTGACCGCGGCAGCATCATGGTCAGCAGTAGCAGCGGGCTGCGTATTGTTACTGAAAGTAGCAGCGTTGACCTGGGAAGTCTGACCATGACTGCCTACTGGCGTACTCATCTCTCCAGGCGGTGCCTCCTCCTCCTCCTCCTTGGACACGGCCAGAATATCTGCAGCCGTGTCCTCACTCACCGCGCTGCCGCCACACAGCTCCGTGGTTGAGTCAGCTATAGAGCACAGATCGACCTGGCTAGCGTTTCCGATGGCGCTCTGCTCATCCTCGTTTTCACCATCTTCGTCCTCCTCGTCGCCTCTAGCCTTGGGCGCTGCCTTCTCCAGTTCTTCAGCAATGTTGTCCTGCAGCTCCGGGGATACAGGCGCGTCCGGAGGCGCCTCGACGTTCACCTCTGGCGGGGCTGGCTGGGACGGGACGGGCGTCTCGTCAGCCACAAATGTGGTCAGCTGGTGGGACACTACGGGCAGGTTTCCGCCCTTCATGAACTCCTTGGTGGCTTGGAGAGCACCCTCCGTGGTAAACTCCATGTCGACGATGTTGTGATTGTCAGTAAACGGCTGCGTAACTGACTGCAAATTGATCTGCTGCTCGTTGGGAATGACCATCTTCACTTGCGAGCCTTCGTAGTTGAAGTTCTCTCGCTTCTCTTGCGTGTCGAAGGTGTTCTCGAGATATTTGAGTAGAGCGACACGCAGCACCTTGCTGGGCTTCAGTTGTCCCCTAGTCTCCGCGTCGAACCGTGCCAGTTTGTTATGCTTGTTGTCGAACATGACCAGCTCCACGCGTTGCAAGAAGCTAGCATGGCGCAGCTGAGGCGGTGCTCTGGCGACGTTGGCCTGAAGGAGCTCTGCAGCCAGGCGCAGCGTACTCTCTCGCACTTGACGGATGGTGAACTCTCCTCTCCTCTTGTCCAGAGCAAGGCCACTGGACAGGCGCTGTTCCACCAGGCCGAGAAGAAGGGACTCTGCGTGGCCTGTGGTCCTTACATACAACGAGACATGCATGGCCGGGAAAATGTGCGGCTGGAAGTCCATAGAATTGTAAACAGTTTCGTTATTGGATTTATTTATATCGTCGGCCTTTGGAGCTCGGTTCAGTTCACTCCTTAGAGTTGCTACAATGTCCTACAAAAAATGGCATCAGTGCACACACACACACACAAACACACACACACACACACACACACACACACATACATACACAATTGCACACACACAGACCCACATGCGCGCGCACGTGCACACACAAGCATACACGCACACACAGACACGCACACACACACACATGCACACAAACACTCGCACACACGTATGCACCAACACACGGACACACATACACATGTACATACACGTGTGTGCACGAATGCACATGTATACTCGGGCACGCACACGCACATACACGCACACCCGCACGCACACGCACACACACACACACACAAAATTACACATACACGCACATACACACACGCATACACACGCACACATACATACATACATGCACGCACACACACACACACACACACACACACACACACACACACATGAGCATGCCCAGGTACACACCAACAGACACGGCACAAAACCATTATCACTAGGCACGAAGGCGGTGATATACTAAAATTTGAGCAGCCAGGATTCTAGAAACATACAACACAGTGTCTGTACAACATTGCCTTACATATCTTATGCTTGGGTCTGTCTAACTCACAATATCTACATTCAATTTCTTATGGGTGGGTCCGTCGAACTCACAAGATTTACCAAGCCAGTGGTTTGGCTGCTCTAACAAAATCCCAGGCATGTGATTACGAAATTCGCCGGATGCTACTACCTACGATCTCTACTGGGCAGGGCAGCTTTCACTCCACCAGACGCTTTTGTTTTTGGTCTCAAGCAAAATTCTGGTAAACGTCCTTGACCTATCAGTTGGACATCGAAAAAACTATCGGTAAACTCAGGCATGGAAATTTTCATGGGAATGAGCCTCGCAAGAAATCGCTATGGGTGCCCTGTGTGGCGCTGTGCCGTCACCTTTGTTTCTGGTCTGGTTCAAAAGGCATCCTGCCTCC